AGGAGCCCTATACCTCGCAGCGCACAGACTTTGAATGAACTTTGGTGACCCAAACCGGTATTCACAATGTGATGCACACGCACAGGTTCACTGACCTGTCTTGATGGCGAGCCCGACAAGACGCTTGTATGACTTTCTTTTTTTTTCAGCAAGTGACAGCACAGGACAAATATTGATTTATTTTCATTCCGGTTACTGTGTATGTAGATACTGAGACTAGGTGCCCGGTTACCATATATGTAGATACAAAGACTAGGTGAGACTAGGTGCCCGGTTACCTAGTACATAGATACTGAGACTAGGTGCCCAGTTACCATGTACGTAGACACACCGTTTTCATTTAGAGTAGAGGCTCACCAAGACTGCCAGGGTGAGTGTCTAGAGGCTAGATTCTAGATCTAGACTAGATCTAGATCTAATTGTACATGTAGAATCTAGACTCTAGTAGAATCTAGATCTATACGCAATTGCATTTTTTGCTATACGCTCGCATTTGCGTGCAAGGTGGATCATACTTTGTTCAAGCAATTCCGTGCCGTAATGCGAAAGATTATAATCCACTACCAAGATATTGCACTTAATGAAGTTAATCTTTGGGCTTTTGTCCACACCGTCCGTGGCGGGCCCGCTTTGCCGCTTAGGCCTAGCCCATGATGGGCTACATCACTCGGGGATGAGAGAGGTGTGTGTGTTTGTGTGTTTACAAATTTGAATCGGCTCCTCACGCTGTGGACGGGCTGTCATAATCCATTCTCCTGTCGATATTGCTAGATCTAGTCCTTCCAGTAAATGTTTACCCAAGTTGACCAATGGATAGGCCTTACAATACATTTTCAACATCTGGTGAGGGAAGCGTGATCTGTCATATAACCTAAGCCCCGCCCACAACTCATGCACAAATCGTGTGTAAGGTGACTAGTCACTGTTTTGTTTACCTAATCTGTAACAAAGTAACAATGGACATTGACGTGAACTTGAACAGAAACATCACTCGTTCTCCCAGTGGTGGCGACCCGTGTGTTTGTTTTACCATGATACTCGGTCTACATCATCTTGCTTATATATATATATATATATTTTGTCCTTGACAATGGGTGGCCGTTTTACACATGTTTGCGTGCGTGTATAGCTAACTGCACGCAATTGCGTGCGTACAGCAAAATTTGAATTTCTGGGCACGCAATGTGCATATAGACTCAACCTCATACCTACGCTAAGAGGAGTAGAAGTAGAAGACTAAAAAAGTGGGCCCAGAGTCCATAACAAAGTCAATTAGGGATTCTTCAAGAGAAGTGGTCCTGGCCTAACTCTACAGAAATTTAAACACAAAATCAGAAACAAAAGCGGAAGTCAAGTAAAAATAGGTACCAGAAACTAAATTTTCAAAGTAGCTGTGTATGACAAATTGATCTGTTTCATTTGAAAGGCCTATATATCCACTGAGCATTTTGATACCATTCTTTAACCTCTCAGTCAGTTTTTAAAGAAAATGGTAGTTGTTTAAAATTTTTATCGAATTTAAGTCAGTCACTGGCTGCAACCCCATGTTTGACAGATAATAAAAGAGTACCAAGTGCACTAAACATCTTCACATTAACAGAGTACAATCACTATAACAAATATATGGAGCCTAATTTTTTTCAAGACTGTGAGATCCGTATATCGTCTCAAACACGATCATCTGTCGTTATTTCGACAAAAACACTGAGTGTTGACCCGGCCGACGCCGCACCGGCACCCGCGGTGAGCGAGTTGGCTCTATACTGTGGTGTACCCCACGTGCGGGGTCACATACATGCTTTCCGAGTCTTGCGGAAGGATTGATGCAAAATAATTCCGCGCAAATTACTTTATTCTAATAGAAAATTAACTAATCTTTCAATTGATACTTTTTTGAGCCGGTATTTTACATATTTTGTGCAAAAAATTATCTTTTGAAATTTTGACGGTCTTTTTAAAGGCTTTCTATTTAAACGCCAAAGGCCAAAAATATACCACGGGAAAGCCCGTTGAAAGCTCTACAGTTTTCCACCAATGAAAAGACGGTATTTAATAATCCCTCGTTCCGCGAAGCATTTCAATGCACGCGTGTCAATTTTTGAACCGGCCGACCACGTATTCCGACCCTGAGGGACTTCGCTTTCTTCTGCGATTCTTCAGCTCCTAATAATAGCACAAAATACAAATAAACAACTTACACCATTGTAACGAGGAAAAGCTGGACTTTTACAAGATCTATGGCATTTGATGTTTTATAGCTAAAGAGCAAAGAAACAGCAATTGGAATTACCTCGATTTCACCGATACCATGCGGTCGGAAGGCCGCAAGTGCCCGCGAGGCCGTGTTTACACTACCTAGTAAAAAAGCAGACTGAGTTGCCAGGGTGAAAAGGCCACTGGTAAATTTAAATACAAAAGGTCCAAACCTATTTTAGACTATTTTTCGGCACTATTTTAATGGTTTTTTTACGTTTGCTGAGAATAACTTTGGCACTAAATTTTTGTGAATTTAATTAACTAATTTGTCAGAGTTGTGTAGGAAAGATTCTCTGACAAAATAAAATATTATTATTGTTTGTTTTTTTATTGTTACTATCATATATTAATCAGTGTAATAATGGGCTTTTTTTTTTTTAGCTTTTAGATAGTTCAAAGTCATTTCTAAGCTTTCTGACATTCAAAGGTTCTTTCTAGAGCCAGGCATACATCTTCTGACTATTAAGAGGGAGGATGGGAAGAGAAATATTGTCCTCCAAAGTTGTGTTTAAGATAAGAAATATGCATCAAGGAGTAGATATTTATTCACTTGACCTTTCACCGTTTGTGCACACGATCTCCTGCATGCAGTGGAATTCAAATGGAATTTTTAGAAATAAAGGCAAGGCAAAAAAGGCCATTATATTTTCAATCGAGTTTTATTGAGAGCTGCAACGTGAGTTGATAACTGACATCCACAACAGAAATAAACATTTTTATGAGTGTTGTTTTTTTTGTTTTTTGTTTCTGCAGACATATTAGTGTCATGTAGACCTTCTGCTAGTGATCTTCATATCAGTGTAAGTAGTTTCTTGATTTGTTGTTTATCTCCAGACAAAACATGTTATCTGCAAGAAGTGTTATGCACTTTGATAAGAAGACCCTTGTTATCAGATCTGTCAAGGCAAACTCAAAGGTATGGACATAAGTGTTTATTTTTTATCCTTGTTTTGGAGAGGAGTATGTACATTGCATGTCAGAAGTTATTGAAGACTAAAGTCCTTTGGTGCATATTTGGCTTAGAAAAGTTGTTCATTGACCCAGATAATATAAAACCATTAGATTTCTGATACATGAGCCTTCCTTTCTTTCTGTGTGCAGCATTTCAACGCAGCTGGTTCAGTCTGAAGATGAAGTCCTTGTTTGGTTTACCGCTGCTCCTGATAATCTGCCTGTTTAAAGACATTGATGGAGTGGAGGGCGGGTTCGAGTTCAAGATTTCGCTAAACTCCACAGATGTGCGTGGTCCTCTTGATCACTTTTGGCGGAGCACAGGCTTTTGGTAAGAGAAAACATCATCATCATCATCATTGCCTTTCTCACCCTGCACCAGGGTATAGGCCACGGACAAACACCTTCCACCTTTCTCAATCCTGGGCTAGCCTCTTAATGTTATTCCATGTCTTCCCACTAAGAGAAAACATGTTTGTTTCATAAGTCATAGAATTTTACTGTAACATTCCCATTGGAAACTTTTGTAAGTTTATGCTGTGGACAAAAACAAAACTATCAGACTGTGTCGACTGGGGCGTAAAAAAATACAGATACGTATGTTTAGAAAGAAAAGCTTTCAGATGATTATTGTCAATCAAAATAAAGATGCTTTGGAATGTGCTGTATTTACAACACAGACATGTTCATTACTTTAATTATTTTGGTTTTTGTCTGATGGAAAAGAACCTCTTATTTTTCTCAAACAATAAAGACCTAAGTTTTATTTCTTTTTCACTTTCACCTCCCAATCCTTCATTTATTTTATACATCTTTCGTCAGTCCGCCTAAGCCTCACAACGATTCGGCAAAGTTTGATCTAGGCCCAGACATGCAGCAAAACCTGGCGTATATCGGGGCTGTGCCATGGGGAGGGATCCGGCAGGTCAGAGTTCACTGGTTGTTTGACTTGGTCACAGTAAATAGGTGAGTTTTCCGACACTTATGATTTTCCAATCTTTTATGAGATAAATGACTTTTTCTTTGGTGACTTAACAGGCAGTTTTCGCTGGGATCCAGGCTGTAATTCTTATTTCTTTTTGTTGTATACTTAGATGAAATTGTCATTAGTTTTGTTTCATCATTATTTTAGTTGAAGATGATGTGGTAATGAAAGGTGGTGTGGTGGAGGGGGGGGGGGGGGTGAGTAAGAAATTTAAGGGAAAAGAGAGAAAGAAAATAGATTAATTTACTGCAGGAAACAGTAGTAAGATATTTTTTTATATTGGAGAAAGGCTTTTTGAAATCATGGTCAATATGATATTTTATCTGATCTCTGTTTCTTTTACTAAATAGGATAACAGGACAGGGCCCAGATTTTAACTTCTCTAACCTGGATAAGCTGATAGCACTGATGCACCAGAATGGCCTGTACCTGGGGTTCGAACTCATGGGCAATCCGTCAGGGATCTTCCTGGACATGGAGAACAAAACACAAGTATACTGGTGGAGGGATCTAGTCGCTGCCACAGCCCGGAGATATGTGGGTGAGTTGCTGTTGTGTTTTTGCTGTGAAAGAGGGAAAAAGAGTGAGGTATAGATAGAGCGGCAGAGAGAGAGAGAGAGTCGGGAGAAACATGCATTATTTCTATATGCATGTCTACTTTGTTGAATATCTATTGTAAATGTATACATTTTTTATGCTTTCAGCGGCTGCATAGAAGTGGATGCACAGAAGATTTCCTATTCAGATTATAAAGAACTTTCTTTTTTTTGTCTTTTGAGAGATAACTTCAAAATTCAATAAGAGAACTGACCTTGTGACTTTTATGTCCAAATAGGAATGCTTAGTCTAACCTTGATTTTCAGTTAAAGAGTTAATCTGTTATTTTTGTCACATTTGCACTTAAAGAAATACATTAATACTCATGTTTTTTATCTGTACTTCTGTGTCTGTAGATCAATATGGCTCTAGCTATGTCAGAGGGTGGAACTTTGAGACCTGGAATGAGCCGGACTGCCATGATTTTGATCAGAACAAAATGACAGTGCAAGGTAGAGTTCATTTGAATAGTTAATGTCATCTTCACAGATCTTTAACAAAATCTGTAGTAATGTTCAGAGGCTGTGTCAACTTTTGTGTTCATTTGTTTACACTCCTGTGAGATCAGTAAATCAAGGAACATGTAGGTTGAGCTCTAATCTCGCCAGTTTTTGTTGGTTTATGATGTGTGTGATGCTGTGTTCTGTCTCAGCCTTTATTTCTTGTGGCATAATACCAGAAATATCGTTTGGCTAATGTGTTCATTCGTTTTTGTCTGTTCCTCATTTGACTTCTTGTGGTGGCAGCAGAAAAGACAATGATGATTCTTATTCAAAAGTTTGAACCTTCAGTTGGTCAATAGTCAAATTCATATGTTTTGCACATTTTACATTTTTGTCCTCTGTTCTCAGTGACTAAGTTGTGTATGGATTCAAACTTTAGCTAAAAATATTTGCTCTTTTTCTGGTATGATAGTTGAAGCTAAACATTTTCTTTAAGAATCAGTTTTGTTAGTTCTTTCTCTAGATAGGAATTTGTTTATTTGTTTGCGTTTTTTAAATTGTGAGCCAGCGTGGTGAAATGAGGCGCTCGTCAACATATCAAAATCGGAGAAACAGGCATTTTTCCGCTAGTTTGGAAATTTTTATTGAATTTCAGTTCTTTGGCTTAACCTCTTTTAGGTCCATATTAACTCATATTTCCTTGTGAATTTTACTAAAAAAAACATTGATTGAAGGCGTAAAATATGTAATTTTTCAGTTTTCAAAGGCTCTTAAGGTATTGGAGTTACCAAACTTTGGCGGCCATTTTCTCGCTGATTTCAGCACTGAAACCAAGCTACCTCACTTCCTTTAAATGCAGATATCTTGAGTTCTATTCAGGATAAATGGATGTTTATTACATTGCAAGCAAGACAAATAAATCAGCATGCCCAAATATTTACGAGCGCCTGATTCCACCATTTCGTGACACAATTGTTTTTGTTTCTATTTATTTCATATTTTTTGTTCCAGGGTTCTTAAACTATTATGATGCCTGCTCTGAGGGCCTGGACATGGTAGATAATTCCTTGACTTTTGGGGGACCTGGGGACGGCTGTGGTCTGTATCTTGTAAGTGTGTAGAATGTTTACTTTATACAGTTACAGCAGCTTTATCCTTTGTCTGTTGTTGAAGTCTGTGAAAGATTGATTTTCACCTTTCAATTGTTTTTTTTACTATTGGGGAAATTCAATAATGTTCATGTGGTATTCATGTGATAGTGTTTTTCATCTTTCAAAGAATGAAATTTTACACAGGTTATATTTACAAAATTGCTTGTACTCATCTGTGCCAAATGAAAGCTTATTCAGTCATGTGTAATATTGTGAAATGTTTTGTCCTCTCTTTTTTACTGCTATGAAAAAAGTTGTAAATTCTTTAGATAACAATTAGTAAGAAACAGTATATTTTAATGGGTTTTTTTTACTTTTTATTATCAAGTTTTGGGACTCTTTCATGTTTGGTTTAAAGTAGAAAAGAACTACATAAGACATTGATAGAGATATATGATGTGTACAGTTAAAATCAGTAGCTGTGTTAATTTCTTCCAGGATGGTAATAGCACCCAGTATGGAGATGCTCTCTTCAATCATGTGATACGTGGAACCAACTATTTCACTGGGGAAAAGGGAGTGCGCATGGATTTCATCTCTATGCACGAAAAGGTATGTTCAATAATCAGAAAACTATATTTAACGCCTTGACAATTTTAAACCAGTGTACATGATACAGATTTGCCTGGGCATTAGAAATAGATGAAGTAGATTGATAAATCAATGCCACTCTTAAAAAACAAAGATGGTATGCAGCAAACTAGGATTTTCTCAGTCCGTAAAGATATTGAAGCATTTATTAACAGTTGACATACCCTGTGAGAACTCTATTGTAATCATAAATTATTTTTTGCCCCTTCTAAGAGGGATACTACTTCCAAGCAAGCAGATATAGAGATACTCAATATAAAACTTTCTCACTAGAGAATTGAACTCACGTCTTCTGCTTGTGATGGCAAAGAGCTTATACACACCCCCCC